TGGTGAGGCTCTGCCCCAACTCAGCACATCCAAACAGTGGACACTTTCATGTTCTGTCAAACATCTCTCCTCTCTCAAACCCACGAGAGCTGATCCAATCTTCCTGCTACTACTTTAAACTCTCATTTCCTTCTTACTTCTGATGGCCAGTCTTTTACCTCTTCAAATCTATCTTACTTATGGCTCTCAGACACAGCTTCCTTAAAAAACAAATCTGGAAAGCTGGTTGGTTCAGGCATGTTTCTCTGCCCAACTGCTCAGACAGGCCTTATGATCATCATCCTACTGCCTCTGTCCCAAAGACCTCCCTCCACCTGGCAAACTTCTGTCAAACACCAGAGTCAAGGTGCTCCACCAGCTTACACTGTACACTGTAACCGCTCTGCTCTCACCTATTGGCAAGGGCTTCCCCATATCTACAGTGTCTACAGTGTCCAGTCCGGAAGATGGTTAAAGCACCTTTGAGTAAATGGACTAAAGAGTTAGGGAGCAGGGGACATAGCTCATTTGTAGAGCACATGCATAGAGCCCATGAGGTCCTGAGTTCCATCCCCAGCACTAAATAAAAAAAAGTCTAGGACTTCAAAACGACTGACTTACACTGGGCACTGGTGATAAATCAAAGCCTTCTCAACTTGTCACTGAAATTGTTCTTCCATTTGGAGCTCATTTGATTACACAGTGGAGAACTGCCTGGTAGCATAGGTGACCCTGCAGGGAACCCACAGCACCATCTTCTGCCCAAGGGGCTTCCTATTTTTCCTGCTTCCCTGTAGAGGAAGGCTGATGGCACTGAGGTGCTGGGACATAAATGGATACAAGTGGAAGACCAAGAGCCTCCTTATACACACATGGGAGGAACAGCTTGAGATAAGGAAGCAAAGTGAAGAGATAAGAGTTCCCAAGAATTCTTATCTGCATTTAGCCCCACTGGAGTAATGGAGCTCTGCTAGACTACAATGGCTGTCCCTGGAATCTTCTGATTCATCAGCACTAGTCTCCTACGTTGCTCATAGAATCACAGAGCGCTGCCACTCTCACCTGGCTGTCTCTCTAAGCCCCTCCCAGGAAGCACACACACCCTACTATCTGCTACTCCTTAGTCCAGAAACATTAGGCTTCTCCAGTTCCAAGAACCAAAGTGAGTTTTGTGGAATCATGTGACTGGTCATCTTTGTCATTTATCTCCATCACTCTGGTGAAACATCAGCTCTTGCTGTTTGCTAACATTGAGCCATTCTCAGGCATTATCTTCACAACACCTTAGAAGGCAGACATTGCCATTAAAGTTATTTTATTATGAGAAGTCTGAGACACAGAAGTGAAGCAACCTGCCTGACGTCTCCCAACAAGTTAGCGAGGGAGCTGGAATTCAAACTCTGGGCTGCCTGACTCTAGATGCAAACAATGAGCCATTCTTCTAGAAGGCAGGGACTGGAACCCTCCCATGACCAGTGCCCCTCTACACTGGAAAAGGGGGGCATCCCAATGTGAAGTTCCTATCTCCCATCATCATCAACAGCTCACGAGACACCTTACTTTTCAGGTTTTAAGATCTTTTTATTTTCACCCTTAAAGGAAAGCATATTTGGGAGGAAAAAAAAATAATGGCTAGTCACATGATTCATTTCTATTAATTACCCAATCCATTGGGCAACAGCATTTATTCTTTCCAGTACCAGGCCTGACTCATGATACAGCTGCTCAGATATGTGCTAACGTCCATATTTTTCCCACTGAGGGCCATTTGGACCCCTGACCTGTCTATTACTGCTTGCCAGCCTAGGAGCTTCTGTACACGCCTTCACTAAATGGGAATTTCGGGAGACTTGGATGCCAGCACTGACTTGGGAAGCACAGACCTTCCAAAGTTTATCCATTCGAAATTTGGCTGACAGGGACTGCTTCTTTAATACTCATATTTATTTCCTCCCTCTCTGCCTCCTTCCTTCCTTTTTGTCATCCATCCCCCCAACCTGGTTGATAGTCCCTAAAGAGAAAAATCCCTTGTCAAAACAACTGACTGTCTTAATCAAATAATCAAATAATGTGAAATATGAGATCAGGGAGAGTTTCATGTGTAACTCTAACCAGGGCCACACCATTATTAATTGTTTGTTAATTAACATTAACTTGCCTGGAAGTATTTTTGAGATGAACGTTCTAAACTAGGTTGAAATGATGATTTATCTCTTAACCATACTTATTAATACTGCTTGCTGTCCTTGAGCAAACAACATATTGAGATTAGGGAGAGAAAAAAAAAGCAAAATAAGAAAGCTAGCTAGGTGTGGTGGTGCACACCTATAATCCTAGCTACTTGGGAGGCAGAGGCAGGAAGATCACTTGCAGCTCCTATGGTAGTGCTTGCCTAGGAAGTGTGAAGCCCTGGGTTTGATTCCCAGTATTGCAAAATCATACAAAACAAAACCAAAAAACCTTAAAGTTACGACTGGAAGGGCAAAGGAAGTTTGGTGAAAAAACAAAACAAAAAAACCCTGGAGTATAATTTAACTGAAGTTTGTTCAAAGGTTAAAGTCCTTTTTATATTATCATCTTCTTTCAAAAACACTACATTATGATAGATCTCACACAGCTTTGAACTTAGCTATAAAAGCCAATATAAATAAAGATTTATAAGCACAATGAATTTTTTCTTCAATCATAGATCCTGTGATGATCTTTAATGATTTAATAGAATCTAGAAAAGTCTGGAAAGTCCTGGTTGGGAATACAAGTCTAGTCACATTTTGGAATCAAAGGGCTGGAGATGCAGCTCAGTGGTAGAGTGCTTGCTCAGCCTGTGTGAGGCCCTGGGTTCCATTCCCAGCACCACAAAAAAGGAGGGGAAAAAAAGACTCAGTACCAATGACTCAGTACTCAGTGCCAATTGAGTAAAACTTAACACAAAAATTAAACATAATTAAAGTTACTTTGTATCATCATCCCAGAGGGATACCTTGCATCTCCCCAAATGGAGAGGGCTGTCTACTAAACATCCCTTAAATATTCTTTTGACCTTTCTTGTCAAAATAGTATGTGAATATTAGCTTTATAACACATGAACAATTTAAGAGCTGGGCATGAGGCATGCCTGTAGTCCCTGAACCTGGGAGGCTGAAGCTGGAGGATCATAAGTTTGAGGATAGCCTGGGCTAAAGAGTGAGACTCTGTCTGTACCCTCCTTTCCCTCCTTCCCCCCCAAAAAAGAATAAAAATGTAATACCCATGTGATTGAACTATTGATAATGTCTTAATTAATTTGCAATACTCACTGCATTAATTTGCACTTATAATGTATAGACTCACTATTCATTTAACACTCAAGAACAATTGTAGGACCATGACTATATGCCAAGCTGTTCTTGGTTCTGGGTTGCACAAATGACAACAAGGCTCAAATCCCTTCCTTTATGGGGATATAGTCCAGTGAGTCTGCCATAATAAAAAAATAAGTGAAATATACACAAGCTTTGATGTTGACATTGCTAGGGAGAAAGGGATGCTGTGGAACCCTTTTATTCAAGTACCTGGGGATGTCTGAGCCCACAAAGCCACACTGAAGCTCTAGGGAGACATCTAGTAGGGTGAAACCCAATCCCACTGGGATGGGGGGTAGGCCAAGGGAAGGGAAGTTGATCCCCGAAAGACAGAGTATAAATAACAGCCACCCCAGAACACTTTGTTTCTTATTTTTGCTCCTGTGGAGTCTCTCCTGGCTTCCACAGTTCTGCTTTCTTCTTCTTCTTTCAATTGTGGTCAACTTGTCCAACCAGCCTTCCTTACTAGGGAGCGCTGGGCACAGTTCATGGGAAGAGGTCCTGGGAGGAGGGCACAGGTCATGGAAATGCCTTGATGGCATGACTAGGACCCTGCTCACCTGCAGGAGACTGTCAGGGACAGGGAACATAGGCCTGGGTGGAAATACAGGAACAGAAAAAACAGCATGGGCTGTTCATTTCCAGTACATTATTGAACTTTGTGTCAAAAAACCCTAGGCACAAAAGAAATGACCTCTTCTTGCCACTGTGGCAAGAGAGAGAGAGGCCTGTGGTGACAAATGGTAACTGGGCCACCAGGCACGAAAGCCAGCTTCCCTGCATTGTACAAGCTTGGGTTCCTGAGCAGGAATTATAAAGGGGATGGGAGAGAGGGCTGAGCCCCCAGGGAGACATTAACTCTGACAGTCTCAGGACTTAAGACTATGGCTGTTTGATGCAGTGATTGTGACACCTAAGAGAGTCTGGGTTTAAAAGTGTCTACACACTCTGGAAATGCTGGCTGAGTATCTCATTTTTGCAGGGGTCACAGTCCAGTTTCAGCAAAAGTCCAGTTTCAGCACCTTGGCATAAATGAATGGTAAAGTAAATGGTTGGCACCAGTGAGGTTCTGCCTCTGGGTGCCCTGGTCTCTGCTTTCCCATGAGCCAGTTGCATGGTCCAGCTTGACAGGTGGCTATAGGCAAATGCTGGAGTGCTGATTTTTCACTAGGACCTCTGCCAACAAGAGGAAGATAAGACACCTCCATCCAAGGTCTCTGTTTTCCTAGTAGTACTCAGTTTGCACCTGTCTGCAAGTTCAATGACAGCCTTATTTCAACATGGAAGCCACCCAATGCCCAAGTCTTGTTCAGCCTCCCAACTTTTCACATAAAAAGGACATGGGCCACTGTCCTTGTGTTTTCTGAGCCTTAAAAAGTCAGCTGCAGCATCACCCCATTTGTACACACAACCTCTCCAGTGCCACAAGAAAACGAATTCAGTGCACAGAGATGTGAACGTGACCTTAACCCCTGGCTGGAGGTCACTGTTACTGAAAACCAGCCTGGGGAGCATGGCAGTCTCCACTCCGCCTCTCGGTCCCCCTGCAAACCTGTAAACACACAGCTGTTAGTGACGGCTGTTTGTCACTGTCAGCGGCCCTCATTCTGGAGAAGAAGGGCCATCTCCATGAGAACATTCCTGAACGATCAGATATGCCAGGGTGCGGGGCTGGGGTACCTAGCTGTTTCTCCCGCTCCTCACGGCGCTCCCGGGCCAGCCGCTGCCGGTCATCAACCCGAAGTACAGGCGGAGGGTCTGAAATGAGACAGAAAACGGAGGGAGAGGGGATTAAAACCACGGTGACAGGCATTCTTTGCGCCAATAAACTGATGAACTATCACCACTTTCTCATGACAGTTAGTGCATGCATCTATAGTTATAGTGAGACATTTTATTATTACAGCTTTTCTAAGAATTGCCAAGCTTCTTTCCATTTTAAAACATTATGTAGGGATTAGGAGAGTCACTCAGAGGGACAGCACTTGTCACTCAGAGGGACAGCACTTGCTTAGCAAGGCCCTGGATTTGATTTCTGAAAACAAAACAAAACACCAAAAACCCAAACCTAAAACCATTATGTAAAATCATAATTTTTCTATAGCATTTCTTATTCTTTGTCAAACAACATAAATGACATTTTGTGTTCTAAGTTATTTCTATTTCTACCCTCCCCTGGGGTTTGAGCTCAAGACTTTTCGCTTGCTAGGTAGATGCTCTACCACTTGAGCCACACCCTGATGTCTTGGGTCAGCCTCAGACCCTGATCTTCCTAACAAGCCTCACACATAGCTGGGATGACAGTCATGTACCACCACGATCAGCTTTTTTATCAGTTGAGATGGGGTCTCTCTAACTTTCTGCCCAGGCTGGCTGATTTCCACCTCCTGAATAGCTGGGATTACAGGCGTGAGCCAAAAAGTCTGTTCCATGACAACAAATAGGATCCTAACTCAGTGGATTTACAGTGGGTAGATGTTTGCCAGTCAGAGGTGATGAGTCAGGCAGACAGGAGTTATTGTCTGTCTGTCACTCACCTGCTACGTATATAGGCCAGGTTACTTCCCCACCCCCTCTAAGTCTCAAGCTATGATGTGAGTTTTTATTTACTTCCTGCAAAATGAGGGCAAAAACAGAACCTGTCTCACATCATGACAGAGATAGTATTTGTACCGCGCTCAGGACACAACTCCCAGCAAGCCCATTCATTCATTCAATGCACACGGGGTATCTACCATGTGCCAGGGTGTTATGTATACAGAAAAGGCCACAGTCAACAAAAAAACCAAAAACCTCAACCTTCAGGGGTTTCAGCATTCTACATGGGAAAAACTTAATAAATGAGAAATATGTAAAACATACAGAGTGAAAAAAGAGAAAAAAACACGCAAAATGTTAGACTGAATTAAACACTAAGATGTCCAAGCAATGAAGGGGATTGTGGCGTGTCGAGAGGACATCTAAATCTTTAGATGGGGTCCAAAGAAGGCCTTGATGTGATGGTAACTTTTACACGTAAATATATGAAGGATGTGAGGGAGCTAGCTGTGTGGATATTTCACAGGAAGCATGTGCAAAGGCCCTGAGGTCATGAGAGACTAACGTGTTCAAGAAACAGTGGAATCTGGGTGACTTAAGCAGTGAGACTGGCAGGGCTGTAGACATGAGGGTCACGTCACAAGGCTCATTTCATGGTGAGCATTGTGGATTACACTCTGAGTTGAGAGAGAGAGAGAGAGAGAGAGAGAGAGAGAGAGAGAGAGAGTGTGTGTGTGTGTCTGTGTGTGTCTCGTCTGTCCAGCAGAGGGCTACCTTTACTGGCTTACTAAGTTGCCATATAGAAACAAAATAATAATAATGGTCACGCGATTACATTTCAACTCAGGTTTTTCTCTCTACCAAACTGACATAACATTGTTAGGATCTCACGGAAAGCTGCCTAACTCATCAGAGACGACCCAGCAGTGCTCTGTCAGCAAACTGAAAGGCCTCACATCCCAAATGCTGCTGCCTTTTGTTTGTTTGAGTCAGGATCTCACACACAGCAGGAACTGGCCTCCAACTCCCAATCCTTCTGCCTCAACCTCCTAAGTGCAGGGATTATAGGTGTCACCACCACACCTAGACCAAACTTTTAGAATTTGTACATGGGAAGGAAATAAAACTGTATGAAAGCCCATTAGAAGGCTGCATGGACCTGGCAGTGTAAATCCTAAGAAGACTGGGTGATAATGACATGTTATAGTTTTTTCTGCTCCCCACTCTTGGAGGGGTAGGTTTGAACTCAGGTCCTTGAGCTTGCTAGGCAGATGCTTTTCCACTTGAGCCCCATCCCCAGTCCTTTTTGCTTTGTTTTTTAAATAGAGTCACCTGGCCTTGGATGAAGATTTTCCACCTCTTGAGTAGCTGGGATCAGAGGCATGAGCCACCACACCTGCTCTTTTTTTTTTTTCGGACAACATCTCACTATGTCACCAAGGCAGGTCCTGAACTCTGATCTGGGCTCAAGCAAGCCTCTAACCTCTGCTTTCTGAGTAGGTGAGCTATCAGCCTGTGTCACCATGGCCTGCTTCAGTATGGCTTTAAGAAATGGATCCCTCATGCTCATGCACATATAGTAAGTTTTCAGATTTCCTAATTACTTAGGAAGTTCCAAATCTTATTGTAGGAAAATGGGCTTCTGCCTCCCAAAGGGTTAAGTGAAACAGGACAATGGATATATACCCCTCAGACAACAGGTGAGGACAGTCACAGGGTGTTGTGTCACTTGTTAACCGTGAGAGCAAAGTGGTATTTTGAAGAAAGGAAGAATTGAGAACAGATGAAGTTAGAGAAAAGATCTTATCACTTAAACATTTTTCCTTAAATAGTGAGTTTTACACACTCCTAAAAACTTTCAATAGTAAGTTGAAAATCAACCTTATTAATAAAAACCATACGAGCACATTATACAGTTTGTAAGATGGAGGACTGAAATACTTTTTAAATCACATTGACAGGTCAATATGAAGTACTGCAATCTCTAGTTTGCTTTCAAGTATGTGCCCAATTTCATGCAAAATTCTGGAAAGGCTTTAATAACAAATGGGACACATACACCATTCACCTGCCCACACCAGCACTGAGACCCCAGGTCATAACAAGACCCAGCCCCCTGCACCAAAGAGGCAATTCCCAACTGTGCAAGAATGCTCCCTTTCCAAGTGCCTTGGGAGTGACAGTCAGAAAACAGCAGGGCAAGAGATGGCAGGGTTTTTCCTCATTTCTTTGGACTTTTTCTTTTCCATGGTGCTGGGGGACAGAACCCAGGAGCTTGCACAATCTAGGCAGGAGCATCAGTGGCCTTAATTCTCCTGATTTCTATTCTACTTTTTATATAAAGTTGGACTTTTCCAAACAATAAATTGCACTGGCCTCAAGGCCGAATACAGTGCTGAACAAACACAAGTAACCACTATAAAAGAGCTCTAGGAAAGACTGAACTGCAGGAAGTAACTGAGTTTCAACCCCGTTTCCATTCTTCAGTTTATGTCAATAAGATCGTTGCCTGGATGCTGAATGTCACCAACACCTGTGGCAGCAGGCTGTGAGTGGGGACAGGGAGGAGCAGAGGCCATCTGCTTTGTTCGCTGCTGAGCGCCTGGCAGAAAGAGGCTACTCAGTTAAGTATTTGTTGAATGAATGAATGAAGGAACCATTTCAGCTAACCACCTCAGTTTCAGAGGCTTTAAACTGCATTAATTGGAACCCATGATATGCTAAGAGCAATCTTGTACCTGCTAATGGACTTTTAAAAACTAAAATGTTAGCAATTGTAATTTTAGTTCTAATTAACTAAAAACAGATTAAATTTATCTTTAAAGACAGGTTTTCAAAAAGGAAAAAGTACAATAGAAGAATTTCAAGTAAATAGGAAATTTTCCCTTTCTTGATTTGACTCTCACATCATTTCCTCCTGAAACAAAATCAGGGTACGTGGGTATGGTGGTACTTGCTTGTAATCTCAGCACTTGGGAGGCAGAAGTAAGAGGTTTAAGAGTTGAGGCCAACCTGAGATGCATACTGAGACTGTCTCACACACACACAAAACAACTACTAAGCTTCAGAAAATAATTTAACACTGTGTACAGACGACACTGACTCCCAATGCATTTAACATAGTTAGCATAAAATTAAGCTGTTGATTTTTAGAGGGAAAGAAAGGGCGAGGAGAAATGGGTTTTGGAGTAGGTGAAGTTACAGGTGTGACCTGCATTCCACCTCCTATCTGTGGTGACTAAGGTGTAAACTGATGAACAAATGGGGCACTTTACAAGGGGCTAGGGTGCAGCTCAGTGTGAACACGCTGCCTAGCATCTGCGAGGCCCTGGGTTCTATTCCTGACACCACAAAACAAACAAGAATGAAAGGGACTGTTATTAATATTGTCTGTGGTGCCATGCATAGACCTGAGTGCCTGTGCAAACCTGAAAGTGTGGTCACTACAACAGAATGACTCCCAGAGATCAGTAGATCAAGTCCCACTGGCAGGCTTTCTCAGCGCTCACTTCACCCTGACTTAACTCTAGCCATTATTGTCACACAACGGTAACTTCTGGTAGTGCTTTGGTTTTTACAAAGCACTTTCACATGTACTGTCATCATTCCCAACAATCCTAGGTGGTGGCCGACCACAAATTCACTCATTCAATCAGAAATTATTTTGCCGATTTTTCAAATGAGAAAACTGAGAGAAATAGATACGACAGATGACAGTGGCCCAGTTAAGCGCCAGGGTTAGGACTTAAGTCAGATCTCTCAGTCCGACTCCAAGGCACATGCTGCTCTGCAAGGAAAACTACACACTGTGAGGGAGAACAAAGTTCTGGTGACTTTTTATAAAGACCTGGGGCAGATGGTAGCCCTGGGATAGGAATTTTTCTTCCCTGGGGGTATATTATGGCATTTACAAAAGCTCTTACAGCCTATCAAATATATCATACTTGAATTCACTGGGGATAGGAATTAGAAGAGGGATTTTGAATGAATTTGAGTTTCTGCTTTTCTCAGGTTGGTGGGGAAAAAAAAGCAATTTCCTTCTGTCATCAGGTCAAGTTAGTGACCATCTGGAGACAGCGGATAGAGATCTGAAGAACCCTCTCAGCTCTTCAGTTCTTGGTCTGGGTTTGAGTACACAGAGTTGACAGCAGCAGTCCTTCCTGCATAACAGGGACAGAGTGTGCCTGCTCTTACAAAATACCATGCAAGTTCTGTAGGGTGGCTTTATTGTTTTTGAGACAGGGTCTCGCTATGTAACTGACACTGGAACCAGCGGTCCTCCTGCTTCAGCCTCCTGAGTGCTGGGATTATACACGTGTGCCACCACATCAGCCCCTCCCCTATCATGTTTTAAGTGTAAAACAGTCACCCTGTGAATGTGAAGAGAGTCTTTCCACATGGAAGAGATGTTCTGGAGCTTTCTAGTGGATTTCAAGTGCTAGAATTAGAGGGAGGGAAATTTAGCTGAAAGGAAGTCTGAGAAAACATTTAGCGAGGATGTCCACATCTGTTTAGGATAATACTCAAAATAACTGTTTTTTTTTTTCATTTTAAATTCTAGGAAATAACTAAAAAAACTGCTTTAGATAGACAAGTCCATGACTTGGATCTCATAAAATCAAGAGGTTTTGGACTGGGCCATGGCTCAAGTGATAGAGCACTTGCCTAGCATGTGATAGGCCCTGGGTTCGATACCCAGTACCACAAAAATAAGTAAGTAAATCAAGAGATTTTACTCAAGCCTCACCCTCCAACCTACCCTCTTAAATCATCCTTTGGAGAGAGTCAGGACAGTAACATGCTCCTAAAATAAGAGCATTTTCTGTACCTTTGCTCATCTGTGTATACAGGGGTGCTCATTAGGCACAACCACAAAGGACATGTGTTCTCATCTAGTGCCACATGAGCAATGGGACGACAAGGGCTCTGCGAGGAGCTGGCTCTCTACTCTCTGTGCACACTGTTCCTCACGCGGGAGTCTGCGTCAGACCGACACTGGAGGGGAGGGCTGTGCCTTTAACAATACGCTCTAGCAATGCACAGTGCTGTCACTGGATGAATGAATGAGTGATCGGGACATAAAGGTACCAAGCACACAGTAAAGAACGCTGGGAATTAGACGCAATGGTGGGTGGAGAAAAACACAGAAGGGGACAGAGTTATGCTGTCAGTTCACTCAGTACCTCTCAGTCCCAGCATTGAGGCACCTGCTCAGGAAATACCAGGTCGTGGCTGGGAACGGGGAGGATGGCAGGGTGGATAATGAGTGAATGGAAAGACAGGCTGACAGCATGGGGACATCTCAGCCTGCTAATTAAAACTCAGCTGGAATGCCACATCATTTTCCACTGGTGGCTGCTCAAGCAACACTTGCAACAATATTTGTTATTATCTTCCAAATGACAAGGTGATTTATCTACTCTGTTCACAATGTTCTCCAACAAAAAGACAAAATTAAGTAAGTGGAGAATGTTTTCTGCGAGAGTAGAACTGGTTATTTCCATCTTTTTTGGGGGGTCAGGATCTCACTAGGTAGCTCACATTGGCTTAGAACTCCCAATCCTCCTGTCTCAGTCTCCCAAATGCTCAGATTACAGGCTTGAACCACCACGCCTGGCTGTCATCTTTATTCGCACTGATTCACCGTTCTTGGGTGACTCTGGCCTTGAACACCGAATGAAGTAGACTTCCAAGAACCTTGTGGGGTCATCAGTCTGTTCTCCCTTCCTCTGATGGCCCTTTACCATGCTGTATGTTCATCCCTCCCATGAACTGCACAGAGGCTGCTGGACACCTGGAAGGAACTGCGCTGTCTGTTCAGTTCTTTGTGCTGTTTACAGACTGCTTCTTTGTGGCTGAGTGGAACAGATCGTGAGTCAAAGGTTACTGAAATCACTACGTAGGCAGGTATATAATCACCGTGAGGAACAGAGAACCAAAACAATACTATGCGAGCTTTGTTATGCAGAAAGACTTCAGTGGTTTTTAAAGAGGTCACAAAAGATACGATAATGCTGGGCACACAGGTACAAAAAACTGTGTTATACGAACATTTCCAAGAGAAGAATCAGTGTTTGGCACCCACACCCGACATCTCAATGACTGTCAGTATGATGCTGAGAGAAGCAGGTCAGAGTCTGAATCTCCATTTTTCAGAAACCCAGGCTTTGGGAGATTCTGACTTCAACTCACACGAGTCAGTGTGAGCTTTGGTGGCAGCACTGAAACCCAGCTTGCCTAGCTTCTACTTTTACAGTTCATCTGCTTGCCTCAGAGGCTTTGGACCTAACTTTCATTTTTCCCAGAGTAAATGCCATGTGTCCTACCTGGTTTGTGTCCTGAGTGGTTGCTATTTTGTCCTGAAACTGTAGAGGAGGAGCGGTTGGGGGCAGTTTTCTTATCTTGCACTTTATAGCTGTCAGGCGCTGTAAAATGAGACAAAAAAGAAAACATATACTTAGTTCATTCCAATCGATTCGGACATACCCATTCAGCATTTACTGTGAAGGTCAGGATCAGCTGCCAGGCTACACTCAGGAAATGAAAAGATAAAGCAGTTATGACCCCTGCCCTCCAGGAGTGTACTGTCTGCAGGGAAGGCCACATCCAGAAATCAGTGGCTTCCTGCAGCAGTGGCTGGGAAAGCTCCTACCCTGGATGTCCCCCATCACCTACTTCTGTGTCTATGCATACAGCAGCCACAGGGACGTACTAAATTCTTTGACCTAAAAAATCCCAAGAATGTAAACAAGTAGGTCACCAAGAGGGAAGCCGGGGGATATCTTTACTACAATTTTTGAAGAAGCGTTTGGCCAAAGTTCAACAACAAAGATTACTACTATTTATTTTTGGTGTGCTGGAGATTGGTCCCAGGGCCTTGCACATGCTACATGTGTTCCACCACTGAACCAGGCCCCCAGCCCACAAAGATCATTCAAGATGAAGGACACGTCTTCTAGGAAAGGAACAACAGGCAGAAGCAGCAGGGACTCTGTGTGTACACGGTCATCCAGGCGCAGGAAAATTGTTTTTACATGTTTTACTTGATATATTTCCATTTTCAAAGGATGTTGGCTACTGTTTCAGAAATTGTGTCAAAACCTGAGCTTCTGAATTTTTCCTCTGTCCACCTGCAGGGTCCCCCTCAGTCAAGGCTAGTCCATTCTAGTTGCTCAGGTCCAAACCCTGGCAGCCATCTTTGGCTTCTCTCATTCCCTCCATTTCATCTCTCAGTAAACTTTGTGGCTCTACCTGGAAAAGCACCTGACCACCACATTTCTGACCATCTCTTCTCTGTCCTCTTAACCAGTGGGCCTGATCCTACCATGGGCCCTACCAGCCCATCAGCAATGACCCTGTTAAAACATGCCATGTCCTCCCTGTGCTCAAAACTCTCCAGCACTGCCCACCCAGCCCAGAGTGAAATCCAACATCTTATTATGGCCTAGGAGGTCCGGCGTGGTTGGCCCTCCAGTCCTATGACCAACTCTGCAGTCCATGAGGGCCTGAACACCCACTTCAGATGCCACCGTGGAGCTCTCCTTCACTTCCTTTGTGTCTCTGCTCAGCCGTGACATCAGAGTCCCCCCGAACTACTTGAAAACGGCACCCCATCACTCATTTCTCCCCCTCACCCACTGACATCTTATACATTTATGACCATATGCATCAGGAAGGCTGATTTTAATGACTCCCAAGAGTCACTTTAAAAATTACACTTACAGCTGAGCATGGTGGCTCATGCCTGTAATTTCAGCTAGTTGGGAGGCAGAGATCAGAAGGATCATAGTTCAAAGCCAGCCCAGGCAAGAAGACCCCATCTCAACCAATAAGCCTGGCATGGAAGTGTGTGCCTGTGGCCCCAGACACACAGGAGGCATAGGTAGGAGAGTTGCGGTCTGAGGCCAGCCCTGGGCAAAAATGAAAAATAACTAAAGAAAAAAAGGACTGGGGATGTGGCTCAGTGGTAAAGCACCTGCCTAGCAAGTGTGCAGCCCTGGGTTCCATCTGAGAAAAACAATGAAGGCTCCAATCAGTGGTTTAAAATACACTGCCAGCAATTTCCCATTGGAAAATCATCACCATGTGTGTGAACACACCTGTGCTGAGGAAGAGAGCAGGACAGGACCTGACACTGACCCAGTGGAAGGCATGATGATCCACAATGCTGTACCAAAACTGCGTGGTCAGTGGTCACTGTGCGGCGGTGAGGGACCAATGAGTGCTGGCCACCATCACAGAGCCTACAGTACAGCTGGAACCTGGGTTGTTTAGTGTGACAGAGCACACTTTCCCCTTCCTGTGCAAGTTAATCCTGTAAGAATTGCTCATCAGAAGTGAATACTTAAAGACAACACAAAGGAGCAGAGTGCCTCAGGGACCTGGAGTGGCCTGATGACAGTTTTCTTTATTGCCACCTCCAGCATACAGCAAGTAAAGCTAAGCTGATTAAGAATATTCTACAGCATGGGGCACGGTTATGCACACTTGTAATCCCAGGCACTTGGGAGGCAGAGGCAGGAGGATCACAAGCTGGAGGCCAGCCTGGGCTGGGTATTGAGGGGGTAGGGGGGAGAGGGAGGGGGCGGAGTGGGTGGAAAGGGAGGGGGTGGGGGCAGGGGGGAGAAATGACCCAAGCCTTGTATGCACATATGAATAACAATAATAATAAAAAAAGATGGTGAAGATTTAACCCAACTATTGTGTTTATTTGGGCTTATGAAGTCATTGGGTAGTGCCCCAAGAGTGTATCCTGGTGGCTTTAAAGGAAAGGGAGAGAAACTGCACAGTGATAGAGATACACGCGCCATGCACACCACCTGCCTCCTGTATTGAGATACTCTGGACCACCTCAGGACTAAGCCAACAAATGGCTCTAACCAGATCCAAGTCAGTGGGACCCTTCCAGAATCATAACCAAAAATAAACATCACTTCTTTATAAATTTATCCTACCTGACCTAGTACATTAGAGTAACTGAAGCTAATTAATACAGTTACTTATAAAAATGAGCAAATGTTGGAAGTGCTTATAGGAGAAGATAAATAACTGCTGAATAGGTTTCACAGGGGTAGTTAATGACACAGGTCTGAAAGGTGGAATGGAAATTACAAAGAGGCCTCCTCTGAGTATTGTCTTTGTACACTTTATTGCTCTTGAAATTTCAATTAAATGTAGTTAAAACTTCTTTTGTAGACCTAGTTTTTATCATTATACCATGAAGCAAAAGGGGTTAAATGAAATGACAATCAGAGTCTTGCAAATTTCATAAACAGATTACATCTAAAATGTTTACAAAAGCTGTATGTTATCATTTGGAGCTGTATATACAAAAATATAAAGAAAAACAGCTCATAGCCTCACCATAATCTCATTGACTGTAAATGTGCATTCTAACTTGACAAGCTTCTTACTGGCAAAAAGTACCCTTAGTTTTGGCTCTGGGGTTGAACCCAGAGTTGTTTTATGAGTAATGCATTATTTTTACATAGGCCCAAATTCTTGCTTAAAATTTTTTTGAAAATATGTGAGAATTAGTTTTGTGAAACCGCCACTATGTACAACACACTTTGTTTACAGGAAGTGTTAAGTAAACAATATTTGACTGCATTTTTACCTGAATATGATTCCTCTAGTATATTATGTTCCTTCTTGATGAAAGTATTTTAATTTGGACTGTACTTATGAGGATGCCTGAGTAAGCTTTAGGACCTATGGGAAATCAGATCAGGTATTGGAGCCTCTTCCCAGCCAGGTCTTGCTGAAACCTAACAGAGAGTGTATGGCATGAACAGGGAGCTTCACAAGCATGTGTGGAGCAGGAGCTGACCTGTGTTGACCTGAATGCAAGGGTAAGAAAGTGGCCTAGGTTCTGCCCTGTTGAGCATGGTATCACCCCCTCCCCCTGCATCAAGCTGCACAGTGGTCTGTCCGTGTTTCCAAGTGAGTGTTCAGGTTCTATCTAGAATGTGGAGTGTTCTCTATTGCCTTGTGTGGCCTGGTCAGCCCTTGGCAACAGACAGAGCTGCTTTGGCATCATGGAGGGAGCCAAGGCTGCCACTCAGTGGTACTTGAGACTAAACCTGAGAGAATTCTTCAGGCATGTGGCAGGAGACCCTGAAGAGTTGAAGCTAGGCCGAAATCCCTATGCACTGCCGTGGGAGTTGGTGATATGTGTGATTATCCTTGGACTTTTTATTCTTCTGTGCTGTTTGTGGCTTTATGCGATGAAAGAAAAAAATCTTGCCATAAAGCTTTGTGAACTGATGGAAGAAAAATGTGAACTCCTTCAAAAAGTGAGCCTTGCTGAAAAAGAGTTTGAAGACTTAGAGTCATCTTTGAAGGATGCCAGCTTTGTGAAAGACTCAATAGAGCTAGTAGAGAGTTTAAAGGCAACCTATGAAAAGCTGAAGAGATCCAAATCTCAACTGGAAGATGAAATACTCTTTGTAGAAAAAGAGCTACAAGAAGAAAAATCTAAACATTCTGAACAATGTGAATTGAGGGCAAAGTTATCAAAAATGGAGCAAGTCTTAAAAGATAGACTAAATTCTCTAACAGAACAACTAGCTGAAGCCAAAGAAACCTGCCTAATACATCAAAACACTGAAGCACAACTGAAGGAGTCAATGAAAGATGCCTTGAATGAAAACTCCCAACTTCAGGCATACCAAAAACAGCTTTTACAAGAAACTGAATCCCTGAAGAAACAAGTGTGTGAACTTAAAAAACAGAAGATAACAATTGAAGACTCCATAGTACATGCACAGCAAGTTCTAAATGATCAAGAAGATCACATCCAGTCTCTGACTGCACATTTGCTGAAAATGAAAGACTGGACTGCTATACTTGGAGAAGACAAAATATGTGATGGTGACTTGGAATTAGAAATGATGGATGGATCAGAAAAGGCAGCTTACATAGAAAATCAGCCAAAAGGAGCTTTGAAGAAACTAATGTATGCTGGGAAATTAAATGCACACTTACAAACCTTAGAAGGAGAGAGAAACCAGATTGAAACTCAATTGTGTGAAGTGAATAAAATCAACCGAGACCTCATGGAGCATATTAAAATTCTCCAGACAGAACAATCCTATTTACAATCACAAAATACACAGCTTGAAAGTGGAAATCAGATGCTTCAGCACAAAGTTAACCTAATGACTGAACTGTATCTATATAATAGTAGGGAACAAAACAAAAACTTAATAGCACAAGAAAACTGCCGGCTAGAGATGGAGGAGAAACTTTCCAAAGTGGTGGAGAAGATCCTCCATGCATCTAGAGAGCTGAAGAGCTACAAAATGCAAGCCAGATATCTTGAAAAAAAAAAATGCAGACAGACATTCTTATTATCAAAAGGAAGTTGTTAAATATGAGAAAAAAGAGCAGCTTTCTTTGATGTTAGCTGAGACTTCTGAAAAAA